AGATTACCTTGTGTGCATGTGCTGTAAAAACTTTATTTTCTACTTTTTTCATTTGATAAAAATCTCTCCACTATCGTATGATTTCCTTTGGGTTTTACACCACCATTTGATCTCAATTTTTAATAATTTTGGTGGGTTTAACTCCCAAAAGAAAACATGCTTGTGCTATGAAGTATTCCCACTAGAAATCTGGGAAGTCTTAAAACCTTGTGTTACTCAGAGCTGAGAACTTGGCTCCTTTATTAATTCTCTTCTAGAGAACCCCAGTACAGTAAATTTTTCCATAACATCATGCTGTTGAAATTAATCAAGCTGATGTTTGGAAATTGTTCAAATTAGATTAAATTAAATAACACCTAGACAGAGTTCAAAATTTTGCCTGATGAAAACAAATTTTAATCTGAAAAGATCCATTTTATTGCATTCTACTCTTATTGGCTGATCTTTGTATTATATTTATTAGGATAAATGGTGCTTCCCATTCAGTGGGGATAGAAGGGTGAGTGTATATATAGCATTTTTATTTAACATCATCACCAGCTCTCCATATGCTTTCTTTCTCCCTCCCCCCATATGGAGACACCAAACGCATGGTGTGAGCATGCACATGGACAACATATGCGAGTCCAGTGACTGTAGAGTGCAATTTACCGTATTACTCACTTTGAGCACACATTGGACTAGATAACCCTTGAAACTTATCGAAAAAACCAGTGAAAGACTTCCTTGAAATAGTCATTTGAAAGGAACACAAAGGGGCTGGTCCATACACATAGAACTTGTACCAGTTGAACTAAAAATATTTGTTTTCTTCAGATTGATCTAATTAAACTGGTGGAAACCTGTGTAGACATTCTTAAATTGGTTTAGAACTCTGTATTGATTTAGTTCAATACTTTTTTTTTTTTTTTTTAAATGACCTCAACTTTTAGTTAAACTGATGAAAGTTTGTCCACAGATATAGCCAAAACCTACTTCTTGAACGAAGACTACTCAATTTCAGAAATACCTTCAGTTTTTAATGCCCACTCTCTAATTTTTATGGATGTATTTTATTTCTGTTCACAGCAGAATGACCTTGACGACGAGGAGAAAACGTACAGTAAAATACAAATGTCAGGTACATGATTTCAGTGGTGCTTTCTTTCTAGTCTCTCTCTGCACCTTAGGCCAGGCTCAGAAAAGAAATTGACTAGTTTGCCTAAAAAGTAAGGAAACCCATGTGCAAACCCTTAGCTGTACAACTCCCTGTGACTGGAAAGGGAATTGTGAAGTTTAAACCCCCCAGATTTGGAAAATGTACGCAGGCATAAACCGTTATAGTCAAAGCAGTTTGTGCACAGTTGTCATACATTGGACTGTGATCTGGCCTTCCTCAGAGTGTGGAGAGCGGCATTTATGTACCAGTGCTGTCCTGAAAGCTTTTGCTATTTTCTAGGATCTTGTTTTCTCCTTATTTGTTTCAACTGATGCTATGTGTTCAGGGTCAGAGCACCATCTGAATTTATGTAGAAAAGCAACTAAGTTGCTGTATTTAAATAAATTAACAAAAAACAAACAAACAAAAAAAAATGAAGCAGCTTAATATGAATGCCTTTGTATATTCTGGCATTGCATTTATCCTTTTCAGAAAGAAAAAATATTCCTTCTTGCCTCCAGTCCACCTCTTGTAACCTCTGTATGTGAAAATCATATAGTTTTATGTCCTGCACCATGAGCTATAAAGACCCGCTGAAGCGCCTTTGTAAATCTGGAAAACCAAATACACACAATTTTAGGACCAGAGGTTTCCTGGTGTGTGTGTGTGTGTGTGTGTGTGTGTGTGGTAGTTTCTGGATGATCAGGAATGGGAAGAGAACCAAGCAATGTTAAAACGAACTGAGTAAAGGCTTGTTTTGCCTTACTCCTTCAGTACCTACAAGGCTTCATGTCTAAACTCATGCTCCCAGCTTTGTAAATATTGCTATAAATTCTCTGACTGGGGCTGTTGCACAGCATTGACTAATTTACACAGCTGTACTTTAAATCTATTGTATTAGGGTTGAGTATGAGAAAGGTGTAATATACATACCTAGGTGTGAGAAGTTGTGTATATCAGTCTGTGAGAGTAGTATTGGCTTCCAGCCGAAAATGTTTTCTTCTCTCATTTTTAATGTACAGTAAAGAATGTTAATTTATTCTCTGACTGTCAGGAAACAGGGAAGTCTGAGGTAATAAATCTGTGGAAGAAACGATAGCTTTACTCTGTCCAATGCTAAATAAAGGGCAAAACAGGTGGTACTTCCTTGGAATGAGATTTTCTGGGGAGAGTTGGATTTACCATCAGTCTTTAGTAAAGTAGGATTGGTGTTAAAGTTCTAGGGGTTGTAGCCACAGGCACCAAAACCCATTAGCAGTAGAGGATATGGTAATTTTCCCTTTGCCCCCCATTCTTTTTAATGTACTAGTAGCATCTTATTGTCATTTCTGATGGGCCACAAAGCTCAGAGATGCTGTCCTTGGAAACCCCATCTCTGTAGCAGAGCTGCCAGCAAGCAATGGTGGGAAAGGACCATTTTAAAAGCCAGTATTTGGGAGCATTACAGAGGATCTGCAATAATACTGTGGGTTCATCCTGCCACCCCAAAATTAAACTGTGAGCAATTCTGCTTCCAGCAATTGAGAGCTTCTTCTGCAGAGATGATGTAAATTATAGTATAAATTGCATGGGGAATCAATATAACCTATATGTCAAGGGGGCGGATAGACCGTGTTGTAGCAAGAAAAGCAACTAGTAGGAGGATAAAAGATGCAACAGCACCCCTCTCTCTCTCTCTCTCTTATAAGCTTGCATTCACCCACTTGTGCTAATTTACCAAAGTGTAATTTATGCAGCCATTAGCATTGCGTCTGAATTTGGCCACTTGTTACTACAATCATAAACTTGTCTCACAACATATTAATAGTTACACCACAGATTGTTGGCATTACTAATGATAAATTGGGCATCGAAAGTACTATGACAAACCATATCTGAATAGAAACAGAAGATTTTCACTTACAGAGAGACTGAATTTTGTTTGAACTAGTTGTGTGATTACAGGCAACTAGGATTCAATCCTGGGGTCATAGAAATTAATAGGAATTTTGTCACTGGCTTCAGGGGGAGCAGGATCAACTCCACAACATCTTTCCGGCAAAGAAGCCCACAGATGGCTTTATGGTACATGTTCTTGAGTACATTAAGACTAAACAGTACTACTTCAACTTGCAAAACCCTTGGCCATGTACCAGAATCCAAGAGTTAAGAAATAAGACAAGGAACAATATGACTATGGATGTTGCATTAGCAAACTGCAAACTATTTCAGTTAAACATTTTTTTAATTAAAACAAAATGAAACGCAGCAATCTGATATTGAGGGTTCATTCCTGATGCTTGTTACTATTGCAACCAACACCGTTGTACTCGTCAAAGGGAGCCTGATCAGTGTCTAATGTAACGATTGAGAGTTGTGTACTTAACATTTTATTTTTAAATGAGTTTCATCTCTTGCACCAACAGCTGATACGGATTTGAGTCCGTTAGTTTTGCCTCCTATAGTTGTCATTGACTTCACTGTCTCCTGTCTGATGTAGGGCTGTGACTCTAAAATGGAATGTAGCTTTTTCCCAAGCAAATGCCTAAAGAACCAGCAAACATCAGTCAGTGTATAGAAGTGATCTTTAACTAAAGCTTGAACCGAACTGTAGTGGATACCTCGAAGAGGTTTTAATTGGCTTCTTAAGAAAGGAGAGTTGACTTCTTGAAATGCAGTTTTCCCTGTATTTTGCTTGAATGTGCAATACAGTAGCACAATGATTGTTCTCCTTAACATAACCTAAAAATAGCGAGTTGTTTTTCTTTTATTTGCCATTAGAGAGAGAGCTATAGTGCTGTTCTTTAGAATGAGCTTTCCCCCCACAATAATAGACCTAAAGGAACTCCTTTCATTAGACTGTATAGGTAGGAACTAGTTAAACCATTTTAGGCTGAGATACATCTCCAGCCTCACAATGATTTCCAGCATGTTCAGTGACTCACAAGTATATGTAGCCAATTAATAAACTTCTAGTAGCAGAGCTAATCAGCAGTTTGAAAAGGAAGGATGATAACATTGTTACAGGTAATGTTATGTGAGAGGTAGCTTCCCTAGTCTGTTTCAGACACAGGCCACACAATTTGTAGCAGATGCAAACCTTCCAGGAGTCATGAAAGGAACTTGCAATAAAACAAAATTAAACAATCCTGCCCAAACCTTCTCCCAAGTCTGGGCTGCTTCTAAAGGTTCTCTCCCAGGACTGCTTAGTCCATACCTAGATCCTCTCTAGACCACCACCCCCTCATGCCTTATATCACGGTGAGCTAATGAACCATCTGCCTCAGTGGTTCTGCAGGGCCAGCGCCAGCTAACAGGGTGGGTTTTCCCGTGAACAATGTGAGCCTGTTACTGTCTGTTTCTGTAGCTCTTAATATGGCAAAAGGCTGAGTGGCTTCAGTCTATACACGTATTAATGACCACACCCCATCCCTCTGGAGCACATAACCATGCATGGAGACAGCCTTGGTCTTTTAATGCTCCTGCAGTGTTCATTGTGTGGGGAGGAGAGGGAACAACATTTAAATGTGGAGTTCATGTATGGCTGCGTGTAGGGAAATATGTGGAATCTTAGCAAACTGGAGCTGGAAAGTCTTATTAGGGCATCCTGTTCATCCCCATGCCAATTAGGGATTGGTTCTTGCATTGTATTCTCTGGTCTGTTATCTAGTGTGGTTTTAAATGAGTCAAGTGAGGAGGCACCCACTATTTCTCTTTAAAGACTATTCTGCAGTCTAATGAAAACCGGGAAAAAAGGCAGATCTCTGCTAACATGAGCCTTCCAGGAGGTGTATTAATCTGACGTTTTTAATCAGAAATGAATTATTTATTTGTTCCTGTTCCTCTATTACTGATGATTCTTTTAAAAACTTTTCTCACTTAGGTTTGATGATTCCTGTCTTTTGTGTGGTGGAGCAGTTGGACACCTCCCTCGAATACGATAATCGAGAGGAGCATGCAGAGTTCGTTCTGGTTCGCAAAGATGTCCTCTTTAGCCAGCTGGTGGAGACGGCGCTCCTGGCTCTGGGGTATTCCCACAGTTCTGCAGCTCAGGCACAAGGTATTCCATTGCATTCTTTTTCATGCTCATTGGCATAAGAGAACAGCTTTTCATAGCTCCTGAGGTCACTGTGCAAGAGAATTAGTGGCAAACCTCGCAAGCAGTTAAATCAGTAGTATTTCTTACCACGGGGCTTGTAACTGCGCCAAACTCTCTACCTGGTCTAGAAAGCATTTGATAAATCCTACTGAAGAATGAAAGACTGGTATTGATCAATCAGAGAAAATGTTATTACTCGCTTTGTTCTTTACTGTAAGGCCCCAAGCTTGCTGCCTCAAAGAACATTATTCAGAGGAGCCCTGTAGTATACCTATGTGTATAACTGCATGAGATTGTACAATATGTGCAAGCTGTCTTTTCCCCCTCATTTCAGGGCCATGACACATGAACACCAGGTTATGTATTTAAAAATGGTTGTGCCGCACCATACTTTGTCCCTAAAATATAAATAGGATTCTCTTTATGACTGATAGCTTACTCTGATTATTTAATATTAGACCAATATCTATTTTGGCTTCCCTAGCTTAGTGCTACAAAGCCTGTTGGGAAGCTGAATGTCACCCTATAGTTGTGTAGATGATTGTTCGGCAGTAGAGAAGAGGTAAAAAAAAACAGCAAAAACCTCTTGAGGAAAAAAATTGAAAACCAAGATCCTGATGAAATGATTCTCTCTGCATTTCAAGTGAATGGCTTGTATTGACTAGATGGTAATGCTTACTTTTTGGAAGCGAAATCTGTAACTTTCAGCTCAATCTTGACATGATTTTTAAAAAACCAATGCACAATTAGACTAATCTACAAATGGTTTTACTTGGAAATTTGGCTTTTTAGCTGCTTTAGTCAGTATTTCCTTATTAAAAAATTTGAAATAAAAGTCAGCCAGGAGCTTTCGGCTGCATTCAATGTGAGCAGCAGCGGTGTTTGAAACTAAGTGTCCTGGAAACTAGCATATAATAATGTAGAGCTCCTAAAGAAAACTTCTTTCAAAGCAGTGTGATAATGATTCATTTCCTCTGTCTGCTTTCTGAGAGAGGTCCAGGATTTGAGTCCAAGCAAAACTCAAGCACAGCGACAGTGAGTTTTGTTACAAAACACAACAATAAAAGCAAGCAAAGAAGTTCGGGTTTCTTTCAAAACATTTCATGCCATTTCAGGGACACTTTTCTCTGAATGTAAAGGTCACTGTATCCCACTGTTTCCATCCTGGTGAGCCAGCTTCCTGCTTGACAGCGCTATCCATCTCCGTTAACACGGTTGCTCAACATGTTGGGAGCTAACATGTGGAACACGCTGCGTTAAGTAGCCAAGATTTGATTTTTGGCATCTATCGAGGGAAGGGGCTTCACTGGGAAGCCGCTCCAAGGAGGCGTGCCATTGCATGCAGTGACCCACACCAGCTGAGCATCTTGCTTGGAGAAACCTCTCTCTTGCAGTACCTTTCTGCTGAGGGCTTGAGAGGGAGAGGGACTCAAACAGGCCATTAGCCACTTCCCCCGTGCGGTGGCTGTTGCATTTTTTTGCACTGTGGTCTTGGAAAATGAACAGGTTAAAGTAATAACCTGTTGTTGGCTTGCGTGTTTGTGTTTTAAAGGGCTAGTATTCAAACCTCACATATCAAATTGATTTCATTAGTTAAGAAATGGCCTCTCTTTGGTTAGCACTTTTCTCATACAAAGTGATAGTGCCCACCAGTTCCTTTGTACTATTAAACCTCACACATGAAATTGTACTTAAAAGTGGAAGAAATTACCATAAAACTTGATCAGCTCCTAGATCTCTTATTTATGTATTGCTCTTATTACCTCACTCTGAAAAGCCAGTTTTAAATTGTACCATACACGCCATACAAATAGTGAAGGAACACTCAGCGTTTCATCATTTGAGGTTGATTTTTTTTCTTTTTGTATGAAGTCTGCTATAGAACAGATCATTTGTGTGCAAGCTGTGAGACGTGACAGAGGCATGGACATAGAACTAGGTGATCACCAAGACAGTTTAGATTCATGATGAAAACGGCAGGGTATTGGTTTGGTTTGTAATCAGTATGAGGGCTGAAACAAGGTGGTGATGTGAAGATTTGTTTTAGTATTTGCTTATAAAAAACGATAGTACATCTGTTTGTTTTCCCCTTTCTGAAACTATCTCAGCTGCTCTGCATCAGGAGAGACCAGTTTCTCCAATAATGACCTGCTGCCAGTAACTTAATCAACAATTGTGATTATTGGCTTTGATTTCTTTTTAAACGATGCATTGATAAACAATCATTTTAGTTCTCTTTACCAGTGTTCTGTGAACAGGAAAACAGCTAATTTTTAAGACCAATGTGAGAAGCTCAGCATTCTCTGATGCTTTTCTAAATGCAATAAAACTTTGAGCAACTTGCTCTGTAGAAAACTGACTAGGATGCTGATTTGAAGAGCTATCCTGACATATTCTAGTGGCGAAGTGAACATTAACTGCCTTTACAATAATGAAGCATTAACCAGTCTGTGCACTGATTAGTAATCCAGCTGTGAGATAAGAATTCCAGATAGTGTAATCTATTAGGTGGAAAAAATGTACATTGTTAATTTTTCTCTATTCTTGTTGCTGTCTGGTTCCAGGGTGTGACTGGCAAGTTTCATTTGATCTTATGAAAAGTTCTGCTTGCTTTTAGAACCGCCTCCAGTAGGATCACTGGCCCTTGGTATGTGTCTGTCATTGGAGGTCCAATTGGGGAAAAATATCACTTGGTTTTTGTGCAACAGGTGTGAGACTACTTGCATCAGTTTCCATTGCTGTTTTCCCTGTAGCTTACTGAAGTAGAATAAACAGTCTTGAGACAAATATACAGTAGGATGTACTGATAGAGGATTTCTGAAGGTGGACCATACCTTATTGAAGAAAGCTTTTTGTTTCATCATCCCCGTCTGTCCTGAGTTAATTGGGGAGAGCATTTTTATCCTGTAAGCTCTTGCTTACAAGCATTTTCCATGGAGCCTTTTCCATCTAACATTGGCCTCATGAAACTTCAGTTCTTCAACAAAATCTGCAAACAATGTTCTGTAACCAGATAGGGACTTATTACCAGCCTGGCACTAGGGTGGGGAAGTTGGTTGTGTGAAATCCATAAAAGCTTAGTAAACATTTATGTATTTTCTTTCATCATTTGAGTCTACATCTGAAATTAGAAAACCTGCTACCTATTTCTTTATGAATAGAATGTGATACCACAGAGCTCTTCTTAACAAGGATGTTTTCCTATGCAGAATTTAATAACCTTAATATCCCAAATCTAAAACACTCTGCTTCTAATAATTGTATTTATTGGGGTGGGGTCCCAGAAAGAGAATAATTCATCTGGAGCATTTGTGGCCAAACTGGAGCCTTCAGAGCCAGGTTTTGAGTGCCCATTAGAGTTCTGCATTGTGACCTGCACCTGATCTTTGTAATAAGAAGAGGTAGCCCATGCCCATAGTCTGTGTGTCTCAGCAGCCAGTGCTCCATGAAGATACAGCACTGAATGCTGGGACCAGAGGTCTCCACAGGCTGCCCCTCCATACTAAAAATCAAAGTAGCTACAATCTGCTCCATTTTACATGCAAACGTACAGCTGTTGGATTAGCTGTGAAAGTAGACTTCTTACCACAATGGATACTAATTTAGTAGAGCGAGTTGGGAACTTTGGCAAATTTTGCAATTCTGGGAGAAACCAGGGGAAAAAAATTAAGTGAGATTTTTCTTCTATATTTTGACCAGCTCTGCTAGTTAGCTCTGATCACAGGCTCTGCAGAGAAGCCAAAGAATGACTGGACCATGAAGATGGAACTACGCTTCAACTTCCTGAAAATGGTTCGGCTAGGTCAGGGTCAAGATGGGTTCGCCGGGCAACGTGCAGTGTCTTCCACTGTTGATGCTCATCTCATACCTGTGTTGTGAATGAAAGTTTCCAGGGCAGAGCGACAGTTTTAGCCATAGATTAGATAACTAAATTTCAGGAGGGGCTGCCGTGGCTTTAGGAGGAGTTGTGCTGCATGATGTTACCCATTCAGAAAATGCACATCTGTTCTGGGATCCTATTACCAGGAGCAAAACGTGTAGCAAGTAGCCAGGTGGATAGGAGACAGCTGCATGGGGGTGGGGAGGGAAGAGGGGGGCGGTGATAGGGAGAAAAGTGAAATGGGGAGACTGAAGGGAAGGAAAGAGGGTCGGAGGCTGCCAGGTGGAGTGGAGGGAAACAAGAAAGTGACAGGAGATCTAAGGGAGAGAAAGAAGTGGGCGACTCTTTAGGCTTGTCTCTGGCACTCTAGAGTCTGAGCACTTCACAAACATGGAGGATTTTTGTTCTTGCAGCGTGACTGAGAGGTAGGGAAATGTCATTATCCCAACTGGACAGCTGGGAAACTGAGGCACAGATATTAAAGGACTTGCCCAGGATCCATAGCAAATGTGACAAAGCCAGGAATGAAACTCAGAACTCCTGGTGTCTTAACCACAAACCATCTTTTCACTTGGAAAAAGTGGGGCAAACAAAGTCTCTGAACATGTAAATATACTTGGAGTGTGCGCCGCCCTCAGGCTGTTAACCTAATGCCCTCCATGATGACTGGATGCACTTAAATACTAGAGAGAGAGAGCATGCAGTCGCTTTGGGTATTTTGCCATTTAGAAAACAACTAGTCACTAAAACCCAGTCCACCAAATGTGTGAACCTATGTCAGCCTGAGTACTTAGCTCCTACTTTGTTGCATTGTGTGATGACCATTACAACCTTGTTGCTATTTGTGGGACTATAACAGTCTACAAATATTTGAAGGGTGTAAATACCGAGAAGGGAGTGTAATTGCCTAGGACCTCCAAGAGGGAAGGGCTAGGGGTAATCAGAGGAAACTGAGTAAAAGATAATTTGGGCAAAATACCAGGAAACATTTCCCAACAGTGAGATCTGTTGGATTGCGGAGTAACATCAGCGTAGACTGTGTAACTGCAGGGTGAAGGCAAACAGATCAGCTGCTGGTGTT